ATATATACATGCTTTTTATTTAACAGGCACTGCAAGCTACTGTCTCTGTGAACAACCAAAATTTTGGCATCGCTAAATGAGTGCGGCTGTGAAATTAAATGCTACGTGATGCCAAAATTTCCAAAATGACCGAGGCGTGCAGCTGCCAGATGTTTAATATTACCTCATTTTCATCCCAACAAGACGTATCGAAGACGATAGTCTCGGTCCAGTCAATGTCCGGTCTTGATTCGCCTTCGGTACTCGTCGTCAGACGAGACGTCCTCTCGCCGTGGGACTCATTCCGATCAAGACGATAAGTGGAATTACCGACCGCGTTTTCGGGTGCTTTGTGATCATTGTCGTCGCCACTGTCCGCGCTAGACGAATGTCCCTTTGAATTCTCTTCGCTGTCACTGTATAGTTCGCTGTATATCTCGTGACCACGTTCACTTCTGATAATGTCCGGCAGATCGTCGGTGGCCAGCGGCGGGTCAGCGGAGATTCTTCCAGCATCAAGAACATTGTTGGAATGTGTGAAGCCGTCCGCAGCCTCAGCATTCGAAGACAGCCTCAGTGTCTTGCAGCCGTCAGCCGTTTCGCCTTCTGTTCCCATTTCATCGCCCTCACCGTACAACCAAGTCAATCGCAGAACTTGGATGGCTACTGTTGCGTCTTTGCACTGACGAACGAGGTTTACAGCGTCCAAACGTGTTTTGCCCTCCAAACTGACCCCATTTATGCTGATCACTCGGTCACCTGCAAACAGTTGCGCATTTCCATCAGACGAGTTAGGATTGGAGATGTACCTTTTCTGAGTCGACCGTCCAAATCTGCTGGACCTCCAGGATTGATCGATTTGATATAGACCCCTTCGAAACCTTCGATTTCGCCGTCGACCAGCATCAGACCAAGTCCAACCTGCGCATCTCTGATAAGGGTGACTTCAACGAGGAGATAGTCAGAACTTTTGACCGCTGAATCCAAACGCTGCACAAGACTCGCTAAACAATTAAGAGTGATAAAAATTAAATCAAAAAATTAAGCAGACTGTCTGTGCAACACTAACTTGACAGGTTGTCATTTTGCGACACGGCAAGCGACACATCCCTGGAAGGAATACTGACATCGGCGGAGGGAATGTTATTACAAACGGCAGAGATTTGCCGCGTCTTCGTTTCATGACCTTCGCTTTTAGCGAGTACGGGAGACATCAGACCATTCCGGTCGACGTCGATCGGCCTTTCGTGGTGATCATGTTTCCCCGTCTGGCTTTTCTTGTCCGGCGAAGGCTCCCGGGATATGCCGGAATCCGTATCTGAGTTCCGCCTAAATAAACATTCGGTATAAAAAAATGAAACACAAAGCTAGAATTTCAGCGAAAAATTGATTTTACCGGGGGGATAAGTTTCCTGAGTTTGCGGAAGCGCGAGGCTGCGAACAATGAAGTCGTTCAAAAGGGTTCAC